TGGAACCCACCATGCGCAGTACAATGTGGAAGAGATATATATACATACTGCCAAAATAGTCATCCAGTAAAACTCCATCTCAACAGTAGTCCTCTGGTCAATGCACTTTTTAGGAGAGAGAACTATTTTTTGCGAGGCTACACCAGCCACATGATGGGTTCTACTGTCTCCAGTATTAGTCAAGAAGTGTGATTTGGCTATTGTTTTTGTTTTTTTTTGGCAGGAGTTAAAAGTCCAGACTGAAATAAAAAGAAATATTAAACAACTCACCTCCTTAAAGCCTCTAGAAGGATTGAAGAATGGTGGCAAGAAGAAAACAAAACCAAGAGGATAAAGAAACCACAACTCACCTCCTTAAAGCCTCTAGAAGGATTGAAGAATGGTGGCAAGAAGGAAACAAAACCCAGAGGATAAAGAAACCACAAGATGGTGCAAGGAATGTGACACAAGAATATTTGATGCTTTCTACATCTCCAACTGCAATATTTCATCCCAGGGGTGTGAACTATGAAAGACATAAGATGATGGGTAGACATTAACACTTATGTTGCCATCTCCCAAGGAGGAAGAGTAGTTGAACTCAACTAATTAAAGTTGAAGGAGACAAATCTTGAGAAGTACAGGAATCCCATAGTTTAAAAAGACAATTCTAAGTGTCTTTAACTCTACTGAGATGGTACTGGTGTTTAACACCCACCCTTGCTTCTGTGAAGTGGAGCATAGTCAGGTTTACTATAATTACAAATTTACTATGTGTATCTTAACAAGATTTGGTAAGCTTTTAGTAAACATTACAAGTATTTTGTACAAAAAAAAATCAGAATTTCTACTAAATATTTCTGTGAATTTACTGACATAGTAATGATGATTTTTATTGCTAAAAGTAAAAATATGTACTTCTCATCTTACAGTTTTCATAACATCTGAAACCTCCTAAATGAATATAAAAAGTTCTTTTTAAGGTAAAAGTTTCTATTTTACCTGTTATTTTCTCCATCTAACATTAATTAACTGAATTATCAACATACAGTGAAACTGAAGTGAAATTTTGAAAATTGTCAAACAAAATTAACTTAACTTTTTCTTCTTCATTCAATACTTAATATGTTTCTAAAATTGGATTTGACACTATTCACAATTTCTTCTGTTTAGTTTTTCATGTGTGTTTTATGTTTTATTTTTTAGTATTATTGCCTGGTTTGTATGACATTTGATTTTTCTCATGCCTGAAGAGTGAAACATCATATTGTGAACATAATGCACATGCAGCTTTGGATTCATGACTTGTAGTTGCCTAACCTAAAGCATTTTTCTATAAATGTTTTTGACAGAAAAAATAATTTACATGTCAAATATACATTTTAAACATAAATAATAAAAAAATCACTAAAATAGAACATCAAAAACAAATACAATTTAACTGTCTTTCTTAAGATACTACTAGATTATAAAAATTGTTAAATGCTATGACTGCTAACTTCCCTTATCACAAAGTTAAAAAATCAAGACATCTTGTTAACATACATCTGCCATCAATTTCAAAAAGATCATTGGAAGTTTGTAATATCAAATAAGCTCTTTCTATCGGTTATAAACAAGTATGTCAAATAAGAAGCCTTGAAAGTTAAGGAAAGGTAGGCAGGGCTTATGTCAAAGTTAGGTTATTTATATCTCAGTAAATGGAGACATTAGTAAGTTCAAACTAAACACTGGACTTTGGAATTGTCTATAGATTGTTCTTACAATACAGTGTAACCTGGTAAGAGTTGCTGTGAATTAAAAACACCACCTTGGAAAGATGTTGAAGAGTAGAATAAGCATAAAGAAAGGTGGGTCAATCCTGACTCAGATAGACTACCACCAAGATCTCCAATTCAGGAACTGAAGGCCAAAAAACTGTTAGCTTGGTGTAGAGGGGAGTCAAAAATACATAAATAAGATGAATCCCAACGTGGTAACACTCCAAAAAAAAAAAACACCAGGGAGTGTATGTACCACCATGTCAGAATGATTTGGTCTATGCAAGATGGCTAATATACACCACTAAAGCCAAAGTTCCACAAACACAGTAGGCTTTTGTTGTTAGGAACCCAAAAGAGAATAAGAAAACAAAGGTCTGCAGCACAAGTACCTCCCTCAAGATTGATATAAGAAATGACACTGGAGTTGTTGGAATAGATCATAACAGTTTTATTCAATTAGCTGTAACATACAATGGTGGATGACCATTGAATTGTCTACATCTTGAGGGTATGGATGTGGAACACCGCTCCTCAGGAGATCATACACTCAAAAAAGATTAAGGTTACTGGAACTGCACACCATCTGGCTATAGAGGTATCTATGAACATATGCAAATCTGGGTATAGTGATGAAAGATGAATGCCCAGGGTCATGTGGAAACAACAGAGCCACCATAACAGTGAGAAGTAAAAAGTGATGGAGGTATAAAAAATAAGAGAAGACAATGGATCACAGGGCATATTCCACTAAATTGTCAGAGTCCACTGAAGGAAACAAAAAAGGACATATTCAGAGGAAGAAGGAACTTTAGTGTGTCAACAGTCCTCATAGGAGACAGAATCTCACACACAGGAAGAAAAAGAAACATGACAGCTTTGGAAACCAGAAATTCTATGTCTAAAAAAATCTAAAGAAGAAAGGTAAAGCCATCCAGCAAACAAAGCAATAAAGGCTTCTGAATGAATCATATAATGAATGATAGCCAATAATAACTGAGGAGCCTGACCAGCAACCTGAAAGAAAAGAGAGATCACAGTAAATGATGGTTCCCAGGATGGAGCAAGGAGATGCCAAATGGCCATATAATGATCAAAATGCAGACCCAACAAGTACATCCTCCATGTGAAAGCCCTCAAGATGAGATGTAAACAGATGGGCTTGAGCTTTGAAAGACAGAGAGAGCCCCTTAAAGAAATCTTGTGTGATCTACGCATTTTCTCTAAATTGAGTTCACACATGAACAAAGTGTAAAAGTAACAGCCATACATTTGATTCCTATAAATGTTATTAAGTTGGCTTATTTCCACATATTCATGCATCACCAAATACAAGTTAAACATGATGCAATAGTATGAGATACACATACTCTCTTTTCTTTTCATTTTATTACATCAGCATTGATTTCACTCTTATTTTTCAAGAACCACGAAAATTATTATAAATCAAAAAATTTAAGAACAGAGTAACAAACTTTTTCTATATCAAATTGTCATGCATGTTTTTTTTCACCTTTTCTATACACAACATGTGTAAACATTGCCCACCCCAGTAATCTTTCCCAAAGCTATCTCTAGCTTATCCTCAATTAAGGCAAACTCTAGAAGTATAGTGTACTGTATACTTCCGAGTCTCCTGTTAGTTGAAATTAAGTCCAAAATTTGTATCGACAACCTAATCCTAGAACCTAATGCACTCTACGAATTCCACTCCACTTATCCCTAAACAACCTTTAAACATATTTAAATTTATTAGCCTTTAATCTCTTCAATCTATCTACCCAATAATTGTATATTTACTAAAATTAGGCTATTTTCCAGTTAATGGTAGCATAAAAACCTTCATATCAAGTTGTTTTGCTTTGAACAAAGACTTTCATAACCCCCTTTACTTTTAACAGTAGCTTGCATGACTTTTATTTCAAGAAACCTAATCATCTTCCATTTTACTAATATTAACAAGTTGCAAGTTAAACTATAGATACTTAAAAACTTACCAGTAAGTTAAATAAGAGATATTAGCTGAAATGCAAAATTTTGGAAAGAACAGAACTTTACAGCAAGATTACTTAAACCAAATCAAAATAAACATTCATGAATCATAATGAAATATTTGCACTGATATCCATAACTACAGGACAACAGGGGGCCTTTTGGCTCATCAAGGATGTTCTGATTCCTAATATCCCTCAACAAAAACCAATCAATAAATCCAGCCATGGTCCCCATCCCCTTCCATAACATCATGTAAATTTGAAGCCTCTACCACTCTAGATGACTATTTGTTTCATGAATCAGCTACATTAATGAAGAAATAAAACTGCCTGAACTGGAGATGCATCTCTAATTTCCAAACTTTAAATTTGTATCATCTTGTTCTACTGTCCTCAGAATTTAGTATAAAATAGCTAATGCCTCGGTTGTATGAACTCCCTTTATGATTTTGAATACTTCCATTAGATCACTAATAATCATTTACTTTTTGACAAGAAAACAAGTAAAAATATTGCCAATGTGTGTGTGTGTGTGTGAGTATATACATGCATAATATATAATAATAAAAAATTAATTATACATTCTGTAAGTTGCAATAAATAAATATCAAACTTATTGTAACTTTTTCATGGAAATTAAAAATGTGCAATAAAAACTTATTCAGGTAAGAAAGTAACAGAACAAAAACATACCCCATAAATATAACATAACCTAATCAAAAATGTTCCTACATTACATTATAAATAAGCAGAAATTAACCAAGCATACTCTGTAACTGTAGCTATAATTTTAAAAATGTCACACTTGTGTTATTATGTTAATATTATTATTATTATTTATATTTCACTATTTTTAGTTAATCACTTAACTAAGTTAATCTACCAAACATTTAAACCTTGGATCTGGTTTTAGTTTTAACAGCTTAGTGACAAATACTGATAAAACCTAATTCCAAGTCCGAAATTTTGGCTATTAAAACTACTGGTGTTACTAACTCTTACTCACACTAAGAGTTAGTAATCCTAATATAGCAATATTACAATATTGCACTGTACGCTACTAGCTAAGCCTAACTAATGCTATTGTTGATACTTAACACATAGTAATATATTTATACTGTTATTTGTCATTCATCCTTAAGTTAAATTTCAAGGCTATTTTACTAATAAAAGATAACTTCTAACTTGGATTAATCAAATTTTTATTTCATTGTTATGTAGTGTAATTTTCCAAAAACATTGTAAAATGACAAGTTATTTTTCTTACCATCTTTTCCACTGCAATTTAAAGTTCAAATTAAACTTAAAGCAAATATACATCCACAGTAAGATATTACATAATAGGATATTAAAGTGCACAGACTAACATAATATTTCACTCTTTCCAAGTTCCAGGTATTTGATTGCTCTCTTGAACCTAAAGAACCTATAATTTCTATTTACGTGTGCATATTGATTGTAAAATATGTTTTCCCTGATTTTAATACTGCTTTTAAAATCTTTGTTTCCAATCGTTACATTTTCCGAAATAAATAAAACTCTTTAACAGCAGATAAAAAAAAAACCCCGTTTTTAAAGTTACTAGTGATTTTATTAAGTATTGTACATATTTTGTGAGAATGTGACTCAGATCATGGTTATACTGCATTTTAGTTTCTTTCATAAATAAGGGGGTGGGGATTAAGTTGTTGTAGAATGTTTTACTTTTGTCATTAAAACTAAAATCAGTTATTACGACCTTTATAGAAAAAGAGAAATGAGATCTTTCTTTTTTTCTATTTTTTTAAGATTTGTTTATCAGTAGAACGCACATTAAACTATACATTACTTGCTTGGAATATAAATGTACTGCTTTCTTATTTTAAAATAAATAGGAAAGAATTAAAATTTTAACAAACAACTATTCTAAACAAAATATATGCTGCAATAAAAAGCACACAAACAAGTAAAGTGATAAAAATTGTCCAAGTAATTACAGGCTCATTAGTCTTACGTCAGTTGTGGGAAAAGTTTTGGAAAGTCTGATAAATGTCACTTTGCAAAGCCATTTAAACAAAGTTTAGAATT